GCCTAAGGCAGTTGACTGCTAATCAGAAGGAAATACAGAATGATTCAGAAAGCATCAAAAGAAGATGGAAGGAATAAACACAGTTTTGTACCAAAAAGAATTGGTTGAAATTCAACCATTTCAGAAGGTAGCATAAGAGCAAGAACCAATGGTATTGACGGAAGAATTCCAAACTGCACTGAAGGCATTGGTAAAAAACAAGGACACAGGAATTGATGGAATACCCACTGAGATGTTTCAACAAATGGATGCTGCACTGGAAGTGCTCAATTGTTTATGCCAAGAAATTTGGAAGACAACACCTGGCCAACCAACAGGAAAAGATTCACATTTGTGAACATTTCAAAGAAGGGTGATCCAACAGCATGTGGGAATTACTGAACAATATCATTAATATCACTTGCAAGTAAAATTTTGCTGAAGATATTAAAAAAACTAGCAGGAGAACATAGACAGGGAACTGCTAGAAACTCAAGTTGAATTCATACGAGGACATGGAATGTAGGATATCACTGCTGATGTCAGATGGATCTTGGCTGAAACAAAGAATACCAGGAAGATGTCTACCTGTGTTTTATTGACTGTGCAAAGGCATTTGACAGTGTGGATCATAATAAATTATGGGTAACATTGCTAAGAATGGAATTCCAAAACACTTAATTGTCCTCATGAAGAGTCTGTACACAGATCAAAAGGCAATCATTAGAACAGAACAAGGGGATACTACATGGTTTAAAATCAGGAAAGGTGTGCATTAGGGTTGTATCCTTTCACCAGACTTATTAAATCTGTATGCTGAGCAAATAACCTGAGAAGCTAAACTATGTGAAGAAAAATGCACCATCCAGAATGAAGACTCATTAACAACCTGAGATATGCAGATGACACAACTTGCTTGTTGAAATTGAAGAAGACTTGAAGCTGATGAAGATCAAAGACTACAGCCTTCAGTATGGATTACACCACAACATAAAGAAAAAAAATCCTCACAACTGGACCAATAAGCAACATCATGAAAAACGTAAAACCCATTGTCCTTGAGTCAGATCCTACTCATAGTGACCCCTCCTTGAATTTCCAAGGCAGTATCACTACAGAAGTAGATTGCCCAACAATCTTCCGAGGAGTGGCTGGTGGATAAAATGTAGAAAGCTTAAAGCTGTCAATTATTTAATTTATGTAGATCCATAATCAATGCCCATGGAAACATCATGAAATCAAATGATGTACTACTGGGCAAGCCTGCTGTAAAAGATCTCTTTAAAGTGTTAAAGAGCAGAAATGTTGCTTTGAAGATTAAAGTGCACCTGGCCCAAACCATGGTACTTTCAATAGCCTCATATACATGGGAGAGCTGGACAATGAATAAGGAAGACCACAGAAGAATTGATGCATTTTAATCATGCTGGAGAGGAATAATGAATTTACGATGGACTACAAGAAAAATAAGGAGCTGTGATGGGGTAGTGGGTAAGGCATTTGGCTGCTAACCAAAACATCAGTGGTTCAAACCCACCTTCCTGGGAGGAAGATGAGGTAATAAACTTCCATAAAGATTTATGGCCTTGGAAACCCAATAGGGTCACTATGAGTTGGAATAGACCCAATGGCAGTGGGTCAGGTTTTGGGGGTTTTATTAGAAGAATGAACAAATCTGTGCTGGAAGAAGTGCAGATGGAATGCTCCTTAGAAGCAAGAATGGCCATGACCTACATTGGTCATATTGTCAGAAGGGACCAGTCCTTGGAAAAGGATATCATGCTAGGTAAAAGGTAGAGGGTCAGCAGAAAATGGGAAGAACCTCCATGAGATAAATTGATGCAGTGGCTGTGATGATGGACTCAAGCCTTGTGGTTGTTATGATGGTGCAGAACTGGATATTGTTTCATTCTGTTGTACATATGAGTCAGTATGAGTCAAAACCAATTCAATGGCACATAACAACAGCAGCATGGTCCTTAGCTAGATCTAAGCACGAAATTTTTTTATATTAAACTTGTGAGTCTTGTTTCTGCTTCTTCCTCGTCAAATGGATAGAAAATTATCACCAAGTGCTTAACAAAGGCAGTTTACATTTGTGATTATATGCATTTATTCCTTCATGCAGCAGTTACTTATTCAATGCATACTAAGTGCCAGGCAGTATACTAGGTGCTGGAATAACTTGTCTATAAGAATCTATAAGTGCTTGTCTATAAGAATCTTCTTGGAAGGTCTTTTCCAGTCAAACAAATTTTTTTTTCTGTCAGTTGTTGTGGGTATAAATCTACATTACAGAGAATGAATGAGCACCAGGGAGAGACTGCATGATCATCAAGACACATGTACTTGGAAAATAAATTGTGATTTATCTAACGTGCTTTTGCATTCTGAGATGTGAAAATGAGGATCCTGGTGAAAGAAGGGAGCTCTGGTGGTGTAGTGCCTAAGGCATTTGACTGCTAACCAGAAGGCTGGTGGTTCAAACCCACCAGCCACTTCTCGGAAGGAAGATTGGGCAATCTACTTCTGTAGAGATATCGCTTCGGAAACACAAGGAGGGGTTGCTATGAGTTGGAACCAACTCGATGGCAGTGAGTTTGGTTTGGTTGGTCAAATAAACATTTAAAATAAAAACATTTTTAAATAAACTTCCATTTTCACAATTGGTGCAAGGTATCCACTCCTGTCAAATTGTGTGCTACGTGCCTACATGAGGTTTACAGCAATGATATTCAAGGCACCATTTACCGGAGGCTCCTTGACTGATGTATTAGGCCCCTTTTCCTGTAAGAAAATGTCTAATTTGTGTCTACAGCATCCCTCTGGGTGAACATATGGATAATCATTGACTAATCAAATTTTTAAAGCATTTCCTGTGTTCCTACTTCTGAGTGCCATAAAGAATTAAAAACAAACAAAATAAAATACTCACACACACACATACACACAAAGTCAAAATAAAAGCAAAATATGGGTCCTATCTCACCACAAGAATTTATAAGTGACTGAAAGTTCTAGAGAAGCAGCTCCTTGCTGGATAATAGATTCTCTCTTGGCTGTGCTTGGCCTTCCCTTTCTCCTTGGCATTACAGCTTTCTCTGTACAAATCCTACTGGATTGTGAGGATCTTTAGGACAAGACCAGTGTCTTACTCATTGTGTCAACTGTGCAGGATATTACAAGGCACTCAATAAGTGCTGTTGAATGGAAGAATTAATGGAAAAACAAATTTATTTATACTGATGTATTGTAAACAGACATCATTCTGGGATTGAAAGGACCCTTGGAAAAGTCAATTCAGCTGGCAACACATATTCATTGTTTCATCTTGTGAGTGAAGGTCAACTTCACCCCAGGGAAAGTTAGTGTACAAACCTGCCACTGTACACTTGATCAAGTCAGCAATGCAAGAAATCAAACAGCATAGCCATTTCTGGTAAAGATTTCCTTTGTTAGATAATGCAACTGACCTGATCTGAAGCCAAGTCAGCATGGGTGTCGTTCCTCCTCCAAATACCCAGACAGTGAAGAACACAATGAGCAGCGTGGTGGTAAACATCATTTGTTTGGGCTGAGATTCTGTGTCCCGAATAGCTAAGGCAAATGCTATTGCTCCTCGCAAACCTTGCAAAGAAGACAAAAAGAGAAAACCGACATTTGCATTTTTGTATTTCTCATTCTTATTTAATTGGATCTATCTTCATAATTTGCTAAGACGATTAGTTTTTAAATTAAATTTTTAATTTTCAGATAATTGTGGATTGATATAAAGTTTAAAGAAATAATACAGAGAGAACTTGTGTAGCCTTTCCCCAGTTTCCCTCAATGACAGCATCTTGCAAAACTATACTGCAATATCATAACCAAGATATTGACACTGACACAGTCAAGATACAGAACATTTCCCTCACCTCAAAGATTCCTCATTTTTCCCTTTTATAGCCATACTCACTTCCTTTCTGTCCACACTTCCTGGCAAGCAATAATCTGTTCCTCATTTCTAAAGTTTTGTCATTTTCAGAATGTCAAATAAATGGAAACATACAGTACATAACCTTTGGAATTGGCTTTTTTTCACTCTGTATAATTCTCTGACAATTCATCAGGTTGTTTCATGTATCAATAATTGCTTTTTATTGCTGAGTAGTATTCCATTCACCGCTTGTCTGTCAGTTTGTCATATGTGGTGGCTTGCATGTTGCTGTGAGGCTGGAGACTATGCCACCAGTATTTTAAATATCAGCAGGGTCACCTATGGTGTACAGGTTTCAGCAGAGCTTCAAGACTAAGACATACTCAGAAGAAGAAAGTGGCCATTCACTTCTAAAAGAATTGGCCAGTGAAACCTTATGAATAGTAGTGAAACCTTGCCTGATATATTACTGGAAAACTTTACGAATACCCCTGAAACATTGTCTGATATAGTTCCAGAAGATGAGCCCCTCAGGGCAGAAGGCACTCAAAATATGACCAACTGGAGAAGAGCTGCTTCCTCAGAATAGAGCTGACCTTAATGATATGAATGGAGTAAAGCTTTGGGACCTCTGTTTGCTTATGTGGCACAACTCAAAAGGAGAAGAAACAACTACAAACATCCATTAATAATCAGAATGTGGAGTGTACAAAGTATGAATCTAGGAAAATGGGAAGTTATAAAAAAATGAAATAGAACACTTAAAAATCGATATTCTAGGCATTAGTGAGCTGAAATGGACTGGTTTTAGCCCTTTTGAATCAGACAAACATATGATTGACTATGCTGGGAGTGACAAATTGAACAGGAATGGTGTGGCATTCATTGTTACAAAGAATGTTTGAAGATCTGTCTTAAAGTACAATGCTGTGAGTGATAGTATAATACTCATATGCCTACAAGGAAGACTCAGTTAATACTACTATTATTCAAATTTACACTCCAACCAAAGCCAAAGAGGAGGAAATTGAAGATTTTTACCAACTTCTGCAGTCTGAAATTGACCAAATATGCAGTCAAGATATGTTGATTATCACTGGTGATTGGAATGCAAAAGTTGGAAACAAAGAAGTATCACCAGTAGATGGAAAATATGGCCTTTGGTGATAGAAATAATGTTGGAGATCACATGATAGAATTTTACAAGACCAATGACTTATTCATTGCAAATACCTTTTTCAACAATATAAACGGTGTTATATGTGGACTTTGCCAGATGGAGTACATAGGAATCAGTCAACTACATCTGTGGAAAAAGATAATGGAGCTCAATATCTTCAACCAAAACAAGGCCAGGAGCTGACTGTGGAACAGATCATCAACTGCTCATGTGCAAGTTCAAGTTGAAGCTGAAGACAATTAAAACAAGTCCATAAGAGCCAAAATATGACCCTTGATTATATTTCTCCTGAATTTAGAGATCTTCTAAAGAATAGATATGATGCATTGAACACTGATGACTGAAAACCAGAGGAATTGTGGGATGATATCAAGAACATCATCCATGAAGAAAGAAAAAGGTCATTAAAAAAACAGGAAAAGAAGAAAAGACCAAAACAGATATCAGAAGAGATTCTGAAAATCGATCTTGAATGAAGAGTAGCTAAAGCAAATGGAAGAATCAACAGGATAAAAGAGCTGAACAGAAGATATCAAAGAGAAGCTAGAGAAGACAAAGTCAATTATTATAATGAAATGTGCAAAGACCTGGAGTTAGAAAAACCAAAAGGGAAGAACACATTTGGCATTTCTAAAGCTATAAGAATTGAAGAAAAAATTCATCCTTGAGTTGCAACATTGAAAGATTTCATGGGTAAAATATTGAATGATGCAAGAAACATCAAAAGAAGATGGAAGGAATACACAGAGTCACTGTACCGAAAAGAATAAATTGATGTTCATCCATTTCAGGAGGTGGTGTATGCTCAAGAGTCAATGGTATTGAAGGAAGAAGTCAAAGATGCACTGAAGGGATTGGCAAAGATCAGGGCTCCAGGAATCAACGGAATACCCATTGAGATGTTTCAACAAATGGATGTCATGCTGGGGGCATTCACTGGGCTATGCCAAGACATTTGGAAGACAGCTACCTGGCCAACTGACTGGAAGAAATCCATATTTGTACCCATTCCAAATAAAGGTGATCCCACAGAATGTAGAAATTATCAAACAATATCATTAATATCACACACAAGTCAAGTCTTGCTGAAGATAATTCAAAAATGGTTGCAGCAGTATATTGACAGAAAAGTTCCAAAAACACAAGCTGGATTCAGAAGAGGATGTGGAACGATGGATATCATTGCTGATGTCAGATGGATCTTGGTTGAAAGCAAAGAATACCAGAAAGATGTTTACCTATGTTTTATTGAGGATGCAAAAGCATTTGATTTTGTGGATCATGACAAATTATGGATAACATTGAGAAGAATGAGAATTCCAGATCACTTAATTGTGCTCATGAGGAGCCTGTACATAAACCAGGAGGCTGTTGTTCAAACAGTACAAGGGTATACTGCATGGATTAAAATCAGGAAGGGAGTGTGTCAGGGTTGTAACCTTTCACCATACTTACTCAATCTGTGTGTTGAGGATATAATCTGAGAAACCGGACTATATGAAGAAGAACACAGCATCAGGATTAGAGGAAGAGTCATTAACCACCAGCAATATGCAGATGACACAACTTTGCTTGCTGAAAGTGAAGATGACTTGAAGCACTTACTGATGAAGGTTGAAGAATAGAGTCTGCAGTATGGATTATATCTCAACATAAAGAAAATGAAAATCCTTACAACTGGACCAATAAGCAGCATCATGATAACTGGAGAAAAGATTGAAGTTGTCAAAGATTTCATATTACTTGGTTCCACAATCAACACCAATGAAAACAGTGGTCAAGAAATCAGATGACATATTGCACTGGGCAAATCTGCCACAAAAGACCTCTTTAAAGTGCTGAAAAGCAAAGGTTTCTCTTTGAAAACAAAGGTGCACCCAACTTAAGCCCAGGTATTTTCAATCACCTCAAAGGCATGTGAGAGCTGGACATTGAATAAGGAAGACCCAAGAAGAGTTGATGCTTTTGAATTGTGATGTGGGCAATGAATATTGGAAGTACCATGAACTGCCAAAAGAACTAACAAATCTGTTCTGGGTGAAGTGTACCAGAATGCTCCTTGGAAGCAAGAATGGCCAGACTTTGTCTGACCTACTTTGTTTATGTTGTCATAAGAGACTATTTTCTGGAGAAGGATATCATGCTTGGTAAAGTGTAGGGTCAACCAAAGAGAGGAAGACCCTCAATGCGATGGATTGACACAGTGGCTGCAACAATGGTCTCAAGTATATCAAGGAATATACTTGGACTGGGCAGTGTTTCATTCTGTTGTACTATGAGTTGTTGCTATGAGTCAGAGCCGACTCAATGGCACCTAACAACAACAGTATTCCATGGGATAGATACGCCACATCTGACTTGTTTCCAGTTTTTTACTAGTATGAATAGAGATGCTGTAAACAACACTTGCATACAGGTTTTTGTGTGAACGTAAAATTTCATTTCTCTGAGATAAATGCCCAGGAGTACAATTGCTGTGTTGTAGATACTGGTCTGTTTAATTTTTATAGGTATTTGCAAACTCTTTTCCAGAGAGTAACATCTTACATTCCCACCAGAAATGTATGAATTACCCAGTGTATCTATATTCTCTCCAGCATTTGATGTTGTCATCACCATCATTATAATTTTATTTTAGCCATTCTGATAGGTGTATGGTTTTAATTTACACTACTCTAATGGTTAATGGTGTGGAACATCTTTTCATGGGCTTATTTGCAATCTGTATCTCCTATTCAGTGAAATGGCTCTTTATGAATTTTTCTCATTTTTAAATTGGGTTATTGAATTTTTGGTTGTTGAGTTTTAAGAATATGTATTTTAGATACTACTCCTTTGTCAGATAGGTGTATTGCAAATTTATTATCTCACTGTCATTTAGCTTGTCATTTCATCTTTTTAAGAGGGTCTTTTATAGAGCAAGTTTTTTAATTTTGATAAAGTCCAATTGATCAAATTTTCCTTTTATGGATTGTGCTTTTGGAGTGTGAAAATGGCATGGCATCAGAAGTCCTCTAACTTCATACCAAGGAGATATGAGAATCAAGATCATCAGCATCAGCCCAAGGCTGATAATTTCTATTAGGTGAAGATCGAACATTCCTCCACCCTTCAAACTTTTAACCAATTCTGACACCACCCATCCCTCCCACAACGATCTTTACTTCTCTGCTGGGTTCAGTAGTTCATTGCCATGGCCATACTGAACTCACAGACCGTACTCACAATTATGGGGTTTGTTAGGCAAAAAACAGTTACAATTCAGTATTAGCTTGGAAGTAGCAAAAATAACTCAGGATACAGTTTTTTGATCAAGTTACCATCTTTTCAGGTGTGCCTGCAGGCAGGCTTCTCTCTAGGCCCTTGTCCCTCAGCCTTTCGTCTGGCCTCTGCCCTGCTCGGAGCAAGTGTTACAAAGCTCTTTAGATCTGCCAACAGTGCCTGGAATCACCTCACTACATCAGCAAGTCTCCTTGCTCCAAAGTGTTCAGGTTTCTTGCTTTGGGGGGTTGGCAAGCCTAGCCTGTCAGT